AACAAAAAGCAGAAATTACTCCAAATTGGAATTTTAAGTCACTATATGAATTTTAAGTGGAAAAAATAGTCAGAAACTGATGACATGGGAAATCAAAGCTATACGACTATCCGTAGCAATATGCTGCTGCAGTGGAATTAAGTCTTACTCCAGGCCATTAAAAATTGTGCCACATACAAAACCTGAAAAGCAATTTACTTAGCTCAGTCAAAGCCACTGATGGTGTCCAACAGAGACTTGGGCAAACTCAATATAGTCTAGAAGCGAGGAGGAACGATCAGATGTTTATGAACATGACCTAGTGTGGATGTAAACAAATTGTTCAGCTGTTCTGCAATAACTGACCTCACACCACTTCCACATTTCATTTGGGAATTACTAACTTTTTTCCCCAGGTGATATATACACATTTCAGCATCCCTGTCTATTGTATACCTGATAACTAAATAGGATTGATTCTATCCACATGCAAAGCCTTGGGAACTCTCCCTTACAGTCAAGTGTTGTGAACAAGCTAGTTTTTTATTGTCTCAGCTTTTAATAGTAGTAAAATACCAAGGCTGGCTATGCAACCTAGGTTCAAAGTCCACGATTGCTTAATGATATTTCATAACACAGTGTAATATGTAAACTTCTAGAGATTATTTATTATCATGTGGCTTTATTGTACACCTGCTAAGTCCCTAATCTCCTCAAAAGCTTTTGCAACAAGTGATGTCAACTTGAGAACTTCCCATCAGGTAAAATGCATAAACTGTTTCTGAAAAGGGTGATAAATGCACGATGGCAAAACCCATATTGACTCTTCACTAATCACTCTGCTTATGCAAGCTGGTAGTTCGCATTATGGCTTTTTGAGGGTTGTCTTAAAGAAAATAATGTGAAGCTCATGTTTTTGTGTTAATACATGTATTTGATTGACCAACTGATCTAAAGATCTGTCAGTCTGCTTTGTGTTGATTGGTTTGCAGGAGTTTGCTGAACAGTTCTGCTTTTAATAATTTACTAACTACATGTACTCAAATGTTAAGAGTGACTGTCACTTGAAGGTGCACAAAGTCTTCTGTTCTTTATTCTCAGCGTTATTAAACTCACATTCCACATTTCTAGAAAGATGCACTTGCACATACTCACAGGCTACAAAAGGAGATATTTACCAAGCTGCCCAGAGACATGTGACAGTAAGGTTGAGGCAAATTCCCTGCTGCAAGAATTTAATGCATGTAACTATTTTAAGTAAATGTCACATGCTCAGATTCACTGTGAAGATCAATTTGCAGTATCTTTCCCTCCTTTCTTCAGCCTGACTTCCAGTTTATGTTAAGCAGAACAATTACAATATTTCATTTCTTCTGTTATTAAGCAGACCTGAGCTAGGGATGAGGTCTCGAGGAATGCTTTAAAGTCATAATTCTGAAATGTGCCATTTCACACATAAAAGAGACTTATGTGTTGTGAGTGCTAACAGAAATTGTGCTGTGATGAAACAATGAGAAAACTGCCTTCTACTTGTGTCTCTTCCCTGCTTTTCCACCGAATTCTGTATGCTGCCCCAGGTTCTTTTTGGCTGCCTGTCAAATCCCTGAATATGTACTTTTGCCTCCTGAACATTAACTCCATCACACAGCTTCCACAGAATACGGACAGGGCTGTTACTTAGTGGTTTACCAGCCCTACTGAGTTCCCACCCCTTTCCCACACATGCAAGTGAACAGCGAGTTCACAGAGATTCCTGTATGCATTTGAAACGGATTTAAGAGCCCTCAAGCTTTGCAGATCAGGAATCACACCTAAGGAACAGACCTCCAAGGTCCCACTTTATGTAAGATTCAGGTCCAATTTCACGGGCAGCTTAAGCTGTCACCAGCTGGCACTGCTGCTGGAAGAAATATCCAGACTCTTTGCCTGGCCTTGATTGACCCCATCTATTGTGCCAGCAGAACTTTCTGGCACTGTTTCACTCAAAGAAGGCAGGCTCTTGACTACATCCTTGTGCTACTTCTTCCAAAAGTAGTTTTTTATTTGTATTAATTCCCCCCCACCACCCACCCATGCTGTAAAGAGCTGTAGAATGAGCTGACATTAGCAAAATGCTACAAACCTGGGCTAAACTCCTAGTCCTTCATTCTGCCCAGGTCTGTGCTTAGCTTCACGTGCCAGGGACAGTTCACTGACAATCACGTGTCTGTTAAAGGGCAGAAATTCTTAAAACAAAGAGAGGAAATATTTAACTGTAGCAGCTGTGTTTCAACTCTGCACAAACTTCTCAAACAACATGAGCAAGAAAAAAATAGCACAAAATAAAATCTCTTCCAGTCCCATTTTTGTTTCTGATGTCAAGAAGAAATAATGTACGAAGTGACAATTTTTTGTCACTGGAAAGCAATGAGTTAAAAAATACACATTGGAAGGTAAGCTTTTTGGACAATTTTAAATGGGGGCTGCTTTGTGTTCTGCAGGATGTGCATAACCTGAACACAAACCATTTGTGTCACTGCTGGTAAGGGGGGCCTGAGGAACATAAATCAAAGATGGGATGGGACTGTCATCTGTGCTGCCACAGTCCTGAGGGAGTCTGAGGGTGTTTTTGTAGATTTTCTGCCAAGAGGAAGCAGGCTCCAGGCCCTGTGTCCCAGCTAACGCTGTCCCAGGGCTGGCAGGGCCAGGGGGGTTGGGTAAGGGCTGCTGCAGACACAGCCCTCCCCACGCAGCAATCCTCCCCCAGCCTGCCCGAGCTGCGCCCGGGGCTGCGTGCTTTGGTGCAGATCATGTTCTTCCTGAGCAGTTTAATAAATACAGACAGTACTATTTTGGAACTGGGACAGAGTAAGAACAGAGTAGCTGGATTTCAAAACCGTCTGTGAGCAAATATGCATTGAGATTTAAACCTTTTTTGGATTTTTTTGGTCCACTGAAACCTTATGAAGATCAAACAAGTTTAATCCTTTACACAACATGTTCACAGCCAAATACTTCAATTATTACTAACACCAAGTTCACTGGTGCTATATAAAATATAAGAAAATTTATGTGATTTTATATCCTGATGAATCATCTATGTTTGTAGATAATTTTTCCCAGCCTACATGTATATATTTTGAGATCTTTCAAAGGCAAATATTATTCAAAACTCATTTGTAAACAGGAACACAGTTACTATATTTTTGCTTTCCTCAGCATATCTCTGGCTACCTAAGGAACACACTAAACCAGCTGCTCTTTTCACTTATCTGTAGGAATAGAGCTTTTTTTTACATGGGGATATGCTCTCCTCCTTGTCAAAGATTGACTCTTTCCCCTCTGAAAGGTGTCCTTAAAATTATTGTTTTTAATAGTATAAACCTCATAGTCAGAATGTAAACCTAACCTTCTAATGATAGTAGTATTATAAAAAATAACATTTAGAAAAAAACAACCTCTGTGGTCCTACAGTACATCCCTTTCTAGTGTATCAGAAATCTTGCATCCCTCTGGTGTTAAGGATTAATTTGGACCACTCTTCCAGTCAGAGTTAGTAAACACAGCACTCTCTTCCAGCAACAGGTATCAAGCAAGGTTTAAGAACTTTAATCTTGAGCCTACCAAGAGAAAACAAAAAAGGCAAAAACTCCTCAAAGTGCCTTAAACATCCATCACCTTGAACTATTCGATGCCTGACTCTTCAATTATTCTAAACACTTAAAAACATCAGTCTTTGTGAGAGGCATTTCCTGATCCACTAGGATTCACTGAGCAAGCTAGAATGACAGACACAGAATCCAGCAAATAATAGCAGCACTCGTGGAAGTTGCAAAACACAGATGAGGTTAGTAATAAGGGTTAGAGGAAGGGAGGACAGCATAGGACTGGGGCTTTGTTTGCATTTCTGTCTTTGCAGTTTGTTTTTCACCTGCACTGGAGAACCTGGGTTTTTACTGATTTCTGTTTTTCATGAAAGTAATAGAGATATGCTGCAGGACAGCTTATCTGAAAAACACCATACCCTGAGGTGGTAAAGCAAAAGTTGCTCCATTGAGTCTCTGTCATCCAAATTGGTGGTGTGCTTATTTAATGAGTGGTTTTGCTAATGGCAAGGACGCTGGGATAATTAAAAGGACGTTTTCTGAAGAGGATGTGTTGTAGGTTTATATAATTGAACTGTTATTTTTGTCCAGAAATCTCACTTCTTAATGCATTCAGCATTCAACAGCTTCAACTAAAATTGCTTCATTTACATTGTAAATAGGTGGGAATGGGTTCCTCCCGTAGTTTAAGGGACACTGCTGGCAGTGTATCCAGGCTGGTTTTCTAGTGCATACAGCCCAGACACAACTCAAGTTCAGGACGTGAAAATACCAATCTTAGTTCAAGATTCCCAGTCAAGACTATATCTGGTACTAAAGTTAAAAAAAGCCAACCCAAACTATTTTATGGAAATAGATTTTGCAGTCTTACCTTTTAACAGTTTCTGCGTTACACAAAATATGAAAGGTGTGATGAATTATATTTAAACAGTAGGTCTCCAATCGCAGAGTAATTGTAAAACACGCTTTCCTTGAGAGAGCCTGTATTTGAAAGGTACATTACGAGAAAGCGTTAATTAATGATTTCTTTGTCTCAAGTTGTGACCAAAGGGTGCTCTGTGATTACAAACAGGTCTGTGGCCGTACTGCTAAGCTGCTGCTGACTGTAACCCTGAGCAGGCACCGAGCAGAGGCGGGACGAGCACCGGCGACTCCTCCCGCGGACCCGCCGGGTCGGGCGCTCTGCGGGGGACGGACACGCGGACAGACACGCGGACGGACACGAGGACGGACACGCGGACGGACACGCGGACGGACACGCGGACGGACACGCGGACGGACACGAGCCCGAGGCCGCTCCCGCCGCTCGGTGGGGGCGCCCGCCGCGCTCCAGCCCAATTATGGCCCCGCGCGGGGCTCGCGCGCCGCCGGGCCAATCAGGCGGAGCGGCGCGGCCGCGCGCGCTGTCCCGTGACCGCGCGCCCCGCGCCGCGACGGGGGCGGCAGCGCGGCCGGGATGGCGCGGAGCGGCGCGGCTCTCGGCAGGGCGCTGGCCGGAGCGGCCGCCGCCAGGTACGCGGGGCGAGGCGCGGATTCCGCGGGCGTGACGGAGAGGTGTCGGGTTCCCGGTTAGAAACTCGCCTCCTCTTTGCCCGAGACAGTGGCAGAGTTGTGAGCGATCCGTCAAAGAACGGAGGAAGCGCCCGGATGTTTTTCCCTTCAGATAATGCAACAAGTTCCTCCTCACCTGAGCATATGTAAGGCTGGCTGCAACAGCTTGAGAAAAACAGTATGCTTTGGTGAAGAGTTAACCTTTCAACTGAAAGAAAAAAGAGCAAGCAGATCACAGAGTGCGATTTGAAAATCTTAGTATGAAAGGTTCACCTGTACTGTTTTGGCAGTGCTGCTGTGTTTCTTTATCAAACTGTCATGATGTCAAATTTCATGCAGTCATTTGACAAAACTGTAAACTGCAGTGGTAAAATGTAACACTGGACCACATTTTTACTGTATATTCTTTGTGGTATAATCTTAGTGTTGTGTTTGCAATATTAAATTTGTTCAGTCCTGATCAACAAAATTGTTATTTTAAACAGTAATTTGAGCCTCCAGGGCAAAATCAATTGCTGGAAGGATGTTTGGTATAGGGAAACCCATTAAGTAACTGCTTGCAAACTCAGTTTAAAAATGTTTCTAGTGGAAGCTGCAAGGATCTTGGCAGCTGGTTTTAAGCAAGCACACGCTGGATCAAACCCAGTGCTGTGCTATGCTACCTGGAGCCTTGGAGCCGGGGATGCTTCACTCCTGCAGTTGGCCCCGGAATGCACGCTGTACCTGCTGCCACCTGGGCAGAACCTCACTGTGCTCAGAAGCAGACTTCAAGGGCTCAGGTGGTAAATTAGTTTCATGTGCTTACTCAGACTGAGATGCTAATGAAGACACTTGCTGGTACACTAATTTTTTTTTTTATACAAACAGCTGTTGGCAAGGAATTTGAATTTGAATGGGATCAACTCGTGTCTCACAGACCATAAAGTCAGATATCACTAAGCTGATGAAAGTATCAGCTGGGGTACAGTAAACACATTTGCCTTGCCAGGCTCCTGGCACTAATTTCAATGTTTACACCGAGGAGTTAAGAGCCGTTTTTTCAAAAAAGTTAACCTTCAGGCCTAGAAGATTGTGTAGTTATTAAAAAAAAAAAGTAAAAATCACAGAATATGGATCACTTACACATGCATGTCATTCTCCAGAAATGCTTCCTTTTCAGGCCTTGGGAGTTGGGTGGTGCCGTGATCAGTCCTCAAGTGCTCAGGGAGAAAGCAGTGAGTGGCATGAGTGAGTGGAGATAGTTGTGTCACTGCAGGAGATAAATACAGAGGTGGCAGGTGTGTCTGAATTCTAGAATGGACTTGGTTTTTCTTCAATAGCCCAGGTCAGGTTCACAAAACTGCATTACAGCCATGGAAACCAAGGGATTTCTTAAGGAGATCTGCTTTTGTGACCTGGGACCCAGCCCAGCACATTCTCACAGCATCTGTTCTTCAGATGAAATTGGGAGAGGGATGGAGACTCACCATAGTTGGTAGCATTATAACCTCTTAGCCTTGCCTTCCTTGAATGGCAAGGACATATTCTTTCAGCAGCTGAGAGATTATTTGTAAGGATTGTTTTTCAGCCCTGTGGCTGAAACACGTTTAGATAAAACTGCATGAAACAATAGACTGGCACAGCATTACAGTAATAAACAAACCAAGAGACAAACCCTGGTGACTGGTTTGGACTGTGTCCTGTACATAGCCCCAGATAATGGAATTTAAATCAGCTGTGCAGAATGAGATCTGCTCAAACATTTGAACACCTTCTGTGAATCTGGTTGAGGCAGCTACAATGTGACTGGCACTCTTCCAGCATTCCTGTCAAACCTTTTCCTTAACAGTCTTGTATGGTCTGTCTGGAAAAAACAGACTTTGTCCACATCCCTTGAGATACTGTTACAAACATTCTCAGAGTTGTCTAAAGGCTTATAAAGTAGACCTACCCTTTCTTAATTTTGACACAATACTTCTGTCTCAGTTTAGTTTCTTTTCAACTGCAGTGATTACAATGTGTTTTCAGGCATCACGCCTCATATCCCAGTTGCATAGTTGGTTTTTAAAAAGTCTGTACAGATTGTTTCTAACCAGCTGCTAATGATGATTATTTTCCTCTAAACTCTACCAGTTTGTTATTTACCCAACTCCTACTGCAGTGACCATATAAGCTGATGTGGTCAGTCATGGGTAACTACTGTATTTAATTAGAATTCTAAATTATGCTGATTTTTAAAGAACATATTGCTAATTTTAATTAAATTTAATTTAAAATGGGTGACTAATTTGGTGTTTGGTTAAAAAAAAAAAAAAAGCCGTCTACCTGTTTATTTTATCTAAAAAACCAACAAAACAACAAAACAACCAACCTAACCCCAAAGAAGCCTAGCTCTAAGTAGAAGAGGTTGCCTCCATTTTTAACCATGTGAATCCAGAAGTATAGTCCTGATTATATAGCTAGAGGAAGATCAGTAAAAGACCTGGGTTACTCATTAGCTTATGTTTGTAGAGTCACTGTGGGCAAATAGTGGCATTTTTACTTTCCTGGTGCCAAAATTCAGAGCTTCTGAAACAGCATTTTGCATCTTGACTGACCTGATCTGAACAAAATCAGTTATTTAGCAGAACTGTTAAACACAGTGAATATTTGTTAGATTTTAGTGTAGATGTTCACAGAGAAAACTGAAGTGCAGTCTTAGAGTTACTAGTACTTTTAAAGGTAATTTGTTCAGTTTTACTTATGAAAACACTGCACCCAAGGTTCTGGTGATACGTTTTGAAGGAAATGTTGAAATCTGGGTAAATAAAGCACCTTCTGAAAGGACTTCCAAAATGAAGTTTTATTTTTAAGAGAAGGGTGGCAGCATAGGGATTATAGCAGAGTTTTATAGCTTTCTGTCTCCAAGTGAAACCTTCTCTGCTTTGTGTATTCCAGAAGGGTAAAGCATTCAAACTCTGCCTCATTTTTGCTATTAAGAGAGTCTGTTCTGCAGACTAAGTGACTTGAACGACAACTCAAGCAGCCAGCGGTTAATGAGGCTCTTTGTATTTCACTCTGCCAGTTACTACTGTCATGACTGGGGGCTATTTTTAGTTTCTCTTAGGGGAAAAAAAAAAGGTGCCCCTTGTGTTTCTGACTGTTTATATATTGTTACAAGCCTTCCTTTTTCCATCTGGTTGACATTTTCTGTAATGTTATACAAGAGACTGTTTGTCTTACCTGAATGCATTATTATTTATTTTGCTGATATGAAACACATCTAAAAGCAATTTCTCTGTTTCAGGCACTTGGCTTCTTGTGGTATTCTGATGACCAGAACTTCTCCTTTGCAAGCACCTGTAATGAGCCATACTTTTTCAAGAAATTTCTTCAATGTTGCTGCACCACTAATAAATAAAAGAAAAGAATATTCTGAAAGAAGAATTATAGGGTTGGTATCAAACTGTGGAAAGATACTTTAAATGCTTATTGATTTTGTATTTGCTGTAATTAATCCAAAACAGTAGTAGTTCAAAAGACACATGTCCCTAAGACTCTGGGAACTTAGAAAGGAGTTTTGACTTTCAAAATTTGTAGAGATTAGGTTTACCAGTCTGAAAGTTAATATAAAAAAAAGTAGGAACCCAAAGCCCTTGGCCCATAGCAAGAAACAGCAGAAATAACTGTTCATTCCATGACAAAACAAAACCAACCTTGAAATGGAGTAATACACTAAGAATTTCATCTAGTAAGATGTGGATAAATCAACAGGTGTGAAAACCCTGTTCTCTCCCAAACACATGCTAATGTCTGCACTTACATTATAATATACTTCTCAAGATTTTCTTAAAAGGGCCTTTGTACAATAGTCCTCACTCTAAGTACTGTTGAACATATGCTTCATTTTAAAGGAAATTAAGCACATGCTTAATCCCACCTGTTTCAGAGTCAGAATGAAAAATTAAAAACCATAGCTATGTAATACTTTGCCATGTTACAGCAGAATCAGCCAAAATGTTGCCTTAATAGTGTTTCATCTGATTTCAATATTCTGCCTGAGCAGGAGTGTTGGACAGAATGATGTGCAGAGATCCCTTCCAACATCAGCCATTCTGTGATGCTGGAAGGTTTTTCTATTGCATCTGGTTTTTAATTAAGTTTTTTTTATTTGGACTAAAATAAGGAAGGTGGTGCTCCTCTGTTTAAACTTTATGAAATATAGTACTTGAGTTTCGGTACACCTTGTCTTGGGAGCTATTTTTTGTGGAATGTCCAACATCTGCCTAAATGAAGACACAGCTGTGCTAGAAAAAATGTTTCCATTTGAAGAGTATGCATGTTGACTTGATATTGCAGGAAGTAGCAGGCACTAGGTTCATTATTCATTAAAGTTACTGCTGGATGATGTGATTCTTTAAGCAAAAGCAATTACCAGTGTATTACTTTTCTTTCCTCTTAATTAGCTAAGCTGCATTTGCAATTTCCAAATCAGTGGTAGTGACTTTGTCCACCTTTCAACTGTCTATGCCATGTATACCATCTTTGAATCGTTTTCATACTAATTTGAAGTCAAATACCTTGTAACTGTAATGTTCATGTCTCCATTTCCAGGTATTCCATGCAGGAAATGTATGAAGTCGTTGCTGTTGTGGAGAATTACAAACTCTTTGTTCCTTGGTGTAAAAAGTCAGACATACTCTCGAGGCGCTCTGGGTACTGCAAAGCACAGCTAGAAATAGGATTCCCTCCTGTAGTAGAGAGATACACATCAATTGTAACCCTAGTGAGACCACATTTAGTTAAGGTAACTGCATTTTTCTTTTCCCCTAACTATAATTTTTGTTAACTTTTGTTTGTTGAAATTTGAATATTCCAGGAACATTTTGCTTCAAAACAGAATCGATGCTGGAAGTTCTTTGTGTGGCTCAAAACTTGTGTTGCTTTTCTTTAAAGACTTTAGATAAACTGGGGAGAATTTGAATGTGTTTTAAAACAACCTGCCACTTGAAGGAGGAGAGGAAATCACTTTTTAAATTGTCTTTATTGACAAAGCTGGCAGCCACTAAATGAAGATATTAATATTTTTGCATGGACTTTTTGTTTCTGTTTTTTCTTTGTTTTTGTTGTTGTTGTTTGTTAATTTTGTCCAAGCCCCTCTTAATACAAAATAAGTACTCAGTTAAAAGTTATCTGACAACTCTAGCTTCTGATGTCTTAATGAACTTGCTATCTGTCATTACTTTTCTTCTCACAACTTTAACTAGTTGATATGAAAGGCCTAAATAAAAAGGCTAAGCTTCAGTACAATGTGCTGAAAAGATGGTTATTCAATACATTGATGAGAAGAAAGAAGTGTGGATTTAATTTTTTTACAATTAATTTTTTCAGAAGAGAAGCAGTTATATTTTTTCTTTCAGCATTTCAAGAACAATAATTAGGAGAAAAGTAGAAAAGTGTCCAGGAAAACATTTTAAATGATGCCTCCATCTTCCATTTGTTTGCCTTATATGTTCAAATCTGTTTTGGTAAAGAAAGGCTCAGAACAGATTCCTTATAGCAAAAGTGCCTCTCCCTTGGTAGATCCTGATTGGTTTAGAATAATTAGTGAAAATTATAGCATGTGATTGCTGTTCAAGATAACTGTTTGAAAATCCTATTTCACTATTCTTTTCTAGGCTTCCTAATAAGAGACACTTAACAGAAAACTCGTTTCTGAAGCACAGGGAAGATGTAATTTGGAAAAGGAATATGCAAAATGCCTTTATTCAATATCCTTACTGATACTGGAAAGGAAAAAAAATCTTTATTAAAAAAAGTTGAGCAGCTATAATGGAAAATCTGTAACTTACATGCTGAGAGCTTTCCTTTTCTTCAGTTTCCTGAGAAGAAAGGCTTTTTTCTTTCACACAGCTATCAGATTGGCTTACCAACTCTTTTTCCTTCTTAATTCACTCAAAAGAAGCATCCTTGTCTCAGAAAAACCCCACAAAAGTGGTGAGGAAAGCCATTTCTTCAGATTTCATCCCTGGAGACATGTTAGCCTTTTCTCTGCTTCAGTTACTTTTCCTAGAGGTTTACATTATGTCCACAGAACTGCAGGAACATTTCTAGGGAAGTGATGGTGTGCTTGCACCATTTCACTGTCCTCTCAAGTAACTCCAGGCAAAGGAACCTTGTGTGGTGCTCAGGCACAAAATGGGAATGGGTTTGTTGCTTAAGGTTTTCCCTGTTTTAGCGCTTAAACAATAGAAAAATCACATTGGTAACAGCAGGTTTTGCTGAGGGGGAAAGCATGGAGTTTGCTACTTTAAGACTGGGAGAAAGGGGAATACAGTGGCAGTTTTCCCATTTTTTCTGCTGTTTTGATAGCAGTAGGGAAAAGCAGGCCCAGCTCTTTGTATCTAATCTTCCCTCTACTCCTTCCCCTTTCTGATGTAGAAGTAGCAAGGCCATGCATTATCTCATTCCTGGAAAGAGAAATGTAGGTGTTTTTGTGCTGATGATTAGTGTTTGAGATGAGTCACCTCACCACAGCTTTCCAAGCCAAACAACACCTATTCCCTGGGGACAGTCTGTTGGAGCAGAACTCCTTGGGGTAACAATAAGAACTTGTAAAAAAATGACCCAGAAAAAAGTTACAGAAATTTTCTCTACAAATTACAAGCCAATGATGTTATGTATTTGAATGTTCTATGCATCATGCCATAGATCTGTTTTATGACACTCAATACACCATCTTTTCCTCCGCCTTGGAAGGACTTCAATTATTTTGCCATAATTGACATCTTTGCATATAGAATTTCATGCTGGCTGTGCTGTAAGAACAGGTTTAACTATGCCACGACAAGCACTGTTTAACAAAACGCAAACATAACCTACAGTAATACCTATTTGTCACATTTGTAAGAGCCTAATTGTAGCTTGATTTTCAAAACTTTATTTTAGGCATCATGCACAGATGGAAAACTCTTTAATCACTTGGAAACAGTGTGGCGTTTGAGCCCTGGTATCCCTGGTTATCCAAGGACATGTACATTGGATTTTTCAGTAAGTATGGTAATTAAAACTACTACATACTAGGAGCAGCACACAGAGACACTTATCTTCAATGGAGGGGGCTTTTTTAAATGCCTGTACTACTTCTTTAAACACTTATACACAGAAAACAAGTTAGCTTTAGTCAATTCTGTCCAAAAGATTTTGCAAACTTTACTGCTGGAAACCACTTCAGTAATCTTCAGAAAAAACAGCCTTCTGTAAGGTGTCCATGTATCATGAAACAGGCTAGGACAGGCACCTTTCACCTTACAGTTCTAAACACATTGAAGTTTTTAGACAGTCCAATGCAGGACAAATGCTAAATATACTTTGCTATTTTCTTTAATCACTCTACAACCTAAATGCTCTTGGTACCAGAAAGTCAGTGTTCTGCCATTTGTTCCTGTTTGGGCAACAGTTTGGTCAGTTTAATTTCCTGTCTTCCAGTTTTCCTCTTTCATGTATTTTAAGCCTTACTCCTTCCTTCTCTAATACAAGTGTAATAGATTTTTGCTGTCTCTAATCTATGATGGGATATCACTGCAGCCCAAAACTATCACTCTTTAATCCAATACCTGATTTAACCCCATTTCACTTCCAGAAAAGCTGTTTCCATTCAAGTTACTGCTTTTCCACATTGTCTGGTTTGTCTGCCATCACATTTTTTTTCTTGCATTTTATAACAAAATGTATAACAAAGCATTAAGCTGGAGGTTGTAACAGGCTGCAAAAGTACACAGAGCTGGGCTAATCCTGCTGCCATCTGCTGGAATACCCTGCTTTGAAAATTATCTTCAGTGAATAGCTTTTGGAGTATTTTTAAACTAGCACATTAACCTCCTTGGGTTATGAACTTTCAGCCTATTATTATATTGCACTTCATACAGTTCAACAGTAAAAATTAATCTATAGGTGCTCAAATAACTGCATTTTTTAATGGTTTGCATGTTGTGTATTCATGTTATTTGTATTTCTTTCGGCAAATAAGTGTCAGTTCTTTCTACTAGCATATATAAGCTGTCTTTTTACCCAAGCCATAAATCAGTTTAAAAACTTGAATTAAACAGCTATTTAAAGCCTAAAATCTAAGTACAGGCTCTGTAAGAAAACAGCACCACATCTCCACAAACCAAAGCCACATTTTGACGTTTCAGGTCAAGAACTTCAGTTAAAGGGAATCAAAAATTAACTGAACATGGGTATTTTCTTGGGGGAACACTATCAACACATCTTACTGCTTACCCTGTTTTGAGGCAGGAAAGGAAGTCAGTGCAGTTGGCTGTGCTTAACCTCTGCCAGTTACTGCCCTGCTGCTCCTTGCCTCTGGGCACGTGCAGGCAGGGATGATAAGCATTTCACAACAAACTCCTCAAAACAGGCCCTGCAATTACAGATATCCCAGAGAAAACTTTGATTTCAAGAATGCCTGTTTGCTTTAGAAAATGTTATTTGAGTTTTGGGCTAGGCTGGTTCCCACAAACTGCTGTATCCTCTTGTGCCAGCCTGATTCCAGGAGACATCTACATACACAGCAGGGAACTTTCCTGCTTTGGCTTCACCTCTGAAATGATTTGTTTCATAGACTGAAGCCACCATTTTTACCACCTGCAAACTTAATTAATGTATACCATACCTTAAGATTGATATAAATGCTGAACATATTGCCACACTCAACATCCCCACTGTACAGAACTCTGCATGCCCTAAATGACAGCTCTCAGACTTGCAAAGGCACGTTAATTTTATTGTTGCTTGAGGTCAAGGAAATGTAAATGAGGCTACACTTGGCTCATGGGCCAAGCTGTTTAATTACTTCTGTGCTACTGCTTTGCAGTTAACATGCATTGCTTGTGTATTTGCTCCTTGTGGCATTAAATATGCTGATTTTTCAGGAATAACAAAAATGACATAACTCTCAATCCTTTTCATTGACTGCTCGTGTCAGGTCAGGAGTGAGAGCTGTTCAGGTGGGAGATGTGACACACAAACCAGATCTGTAATTTTTGTCATTAAACTGATTGTTTGAACCTACCGTAACTACTGCCATCAACAAGGAAAGACTGTTTTAAAATACTGGTATTTAATAGGTAACTATTTCAAATGGCTTTTAAGTTTCTTGGGCATGCTCCAGTTTCCTGTTAGTCTGCTCTCTTGCCATGCAGGATTTTCTTCAGACGACTTTTGTCCCTCAAGTGAATTCTGTGCACAAAATAGGAGTTATTGTTTGTCAGTAGTTTTTGTAATGAACCATTTATTAAAGAAAATACAGTTTAGGTTCACTTCATAGAACTGCATGAGGGGATTCTCTTAATGGAAAAGCCCAGAAGTACAGTCCTTAGACCAAGGAAAATGGGTTTCCTTCTCAGCCACATTCACTTATTCCTCAGTTTTAACTGTCCTACAACTTAACCTGCAGCATTCACTGGAGATTCTTTAATAGGGCTGTTTATTTGTAACAGCATATATAGGAAAAATAATTATCTTTCATTTTCTTAAACAGATTTCTTTCGAATTTCGTTCACTTCTACACTCAAAACTTGCTACGCTATTTTTTGATGAAGTTGTAAAGCAGATGGTTGCTGCCTTTGAAAGAAGAGCATCCAAACTGCATGGCCCAGAAACCAGCATCCCTCGGGAGCTGATGCTGCATGAAGTTCATCAGACGTAAAGGAAACCTGTAACAACCTCAGCTATAAACTCGTTTGTACACTTCATTTGTACAAAGTGCCGTGCTCCTCCTTTGGGGCATCTATTTCTTGTCTGAGCTTGGGTGTGATCTTACACTGTGCCAAACATACCTGCTCAGACAGACACAGAATGTTCAAAAGCTGCAATCAAGTGCAGCTTAAAGCCTTATCAGTAACAGACACCTGGCAGCTCCTGTAACCCAGGCTATCTCAGCTGCCGTTTAACGCCTAACGGCTCCTGGAATCACAGCCCAAGCTCTGCCTTAGCCAAGCTCCTGGGGTTTTTAGCACTGTTACTTATTAACTCAGCTTTGTGGGAATGTTAACTTCAGAGCATCAACTCAGCCAGCTCTGCCCAAGCAAAGGCCAACTGACACACTGGCTTCATTGCAAATGGCACAGTTTGGCAACCATTGAGGAGTTGTGCTTTGAATTCAATTGAATGGCAAAGGTAAGTCAGGGATCTCCAGTTGCTCCTAGAGTGACCAGCAACTGCTCTAGAACTTCCCTCGTTTTCAGGGGTGAAATGCATAAGGAGTACCATAAGCTGAGTGCAGCAGTTTCAGCTACAGCCAGTGGTTCCCAGCCTGGAATATGTAGCACATTTGGCAGGCTGAACTTGCTTCTTGCCACTCCTTCCGTGGTACATGCTGCACTTTGGTTACCTCCATCTCACCTAATGCAAACAGAACACTTCAATGCAAGTGTTACCTCTGAGAACCAGGTACCTGTACTGTCCTCCCTGGAAGCAGGTTACAAGAGACCCTGCACTTCCTGCAAACAAGCACTGCCGAGGCCAGCTGCCATCATAAATCATGTAAGAAAACACTAAACCTTCAATCTTTGAGGTTTTCCAGTACCATACTCCTACTGTGCTAGTATCATCCCGATTAAATACGTGTTCAGGACTTCTATTCCTGAAATACTCTCTTCCCAGTCTCTGAAGAAACCAAGTGAATAGGTTTAAACAGATTCTAAATCTTTACTTTATGCTGTCTTGCATTACCAAATTTCCTTACTGAAATTAGGTGAAGCTTCAGGCCAGGTGCTGATCCTTTCTCTGCAGTATATGTAGTCCCTATGGTTACTAAAGAACAGCATATTAAATAACATAGAAAGGTATGTTTCAAAATAAAGACAACCCTGAAACAGTTTCAGATAATTTTACTTTAAATTAGAATGTCACACATCCCATATGTGGAAGGATAGTTCTTATTAAGGGCAGGAAACTGGGGAAAGCAACAGGTGGATTAAGGTCATTTGTACAGAACTGAAGTTATAAAGCAATTTGAATTGTTGAGGTAATCAGATAAACATACACAAGATTGGGAACACCATTGTTCTGCAAGTCGGAAAGCAGAAAAGACTGCACAATGTTAGTGGTGGTGTCAGGTCAAAGAACACAGAGAGGCAAAGCAACATTTCTAGTGCAAAATGACTAAATCCTGCACCCCTTACCAGAGAGGAGGAAGGTAAGAATGGAAGGCTCAAGGTGAGGAGGTAATCACATACTACTCCTGAGCAAAGGAACTGTCTAAAATCCCCAGAACCCTTTCTTAGCAAAGACTCACCTGTTTGGTACCCTCGGGGCACTTCACTTCCCCTGGGACTGTGAAAGGTACACTGGACCTGTTCCAGCATGTGAAACAACCAGATAGGGCAAAATAAAGTCAGTGCACATGCCTTGTTTTCAGAGAATTGTTTAATATTTCAAAGAACTGTAGTACAGTTCAGCTTAGGTATTTCCTACCAAAATTAAAGCACTTGCATTTCTGAGAAACATTCTAAACAAAGGAATGCTTCTCGGAGTGAAATGCTCTCTCATTTTTTCAAGCATAAGTGTCAAATTTCTACTAAGTCTTAGAAGCAGCAGGCTGTCCAGGCTCTCCCATAACTATGGCTTTGTGTGCAGATGAAGGAGGTGATACATTTTGTCACTTTTGAGCAGTTTATTACATAAAGGTCACATAACTCTATTTGCCTACTTTGTACACAATTGTCTAGTCTCACGCACAGTGGCTTCCAAGTTCTTCCTAGTAGTACTGGCAAGCACCAAGAAATTCTGAAATAGAATATCAAGTGCCTTAATTAAGTTCAAATCAGGACCTTGGTAGATGGATCTTGCACCCAGTTATCAGGAATGTACAAATGTCTTTATTCAAAAAATACAAAATAAATTATCTGTAGGCATGGACAATGACTGTAAACAATTACACGTGTGTTAAATGAAATCCGGTAACTGATGGTTACAGTGATTCTTTTCAACACCAGCCTCACTTCAGTCACTATCCATCCTCTCACACTGATAGCTCAAGTTTTTAAAGTCAGAACTGTCAGTCTTCAACAGCACAGCTCATGATGTATCCCTCTACCCCAGGAATTAGAACATGCCACCTCCCATTCCTCCACCCATCCCACCCATTCCTCCCATTGCCGGCTCCTTTTCTTCTTTAGGAACTTCAGTCACCACTGCTTCTGCTGTTGATAGGAGAGATGCAACACCTGCAGCATCCATCAAAGCAGTTCTCACAACCTAAAAATAAGCAAGAAACTACTTAAGATCTGCTGACCATCACAGGAGGTGGGAGGAAGCAAAGCTGAGAATTAAGACCTTTAGGTTACCTTAGTTGGGTCTATAATTCCTTTTTCTACCATATTTACAAAGTCCCCAAGCATTGCATCATAGCCAACTTCTGATGGGCTCTGCAGGATTTTTTCAACTATCAATGATCCTTCAACACCAGCATTCTTTGCAATAGTCATTGCCGGGATTCTCAGTGTTCTCTTGATTATTTCGATGCCTGCAAGAAACAGGATAGTTGGAGCTCCGTGTACAAACACCACTCCCACTGCCAAGGAATGCCCTACTGCTGGAGCTCAATATGAAGAGAAAACCCTCCAAGCAAGCACATAAGCTATTTTTGTCAGTTCCAGGAGGAAAGATTCTCTGCTACTTGACACTTGCCAACAAATTAGGCCTCTGAAGGATATTCATGCACATTTTAGTTTTTACTCCCACAGAAAAAAATAAGAAGTATTATTATTCTTTATATTTATGTGTAACATGACACAAAGCCTTTTTCCATTTGATATGCCACATAGTCTCTTGAGCATTAGTAGATTTTGTCTAGCTGCAAAGACTTTAACAGCCAGCTCCCAGCTCTAAACATTTGCCACTCTGTGCTGGGATACTGCTACTGGGTTTTACACCAGCCAGTCAGCAATGCAGTGAAAAAGCTTCTTCCCACTCAAAAGTGGAGACCACCCCGCCAAAGAAATGTGATGTTCCTAAGATCAAGTAACTCAAACCTCACTGAAAGCCACCTGATAAAGCCTCAGGACAGGAGAAAACGTGCTTCTATCACTTCCACACACATCTTCAAGTCATTTGCTTACCAATTTTCTGATCCTCATTGGCTGGAGTTAAGGCATCTAAGGCTGGGATGCAGCGCAGCAGGGCACAGCCACCACCTGGGACGATGCCTTCCTCCACGGCCGCACGGGTGGCGTTCAGGGCGTCGGTGACCCTGTCCTTCTTCTCGTTCACCTCAACATCGCTCGTTCCACCCACCTGCAGCAGCAAGCCACACGTCAAGGTCTGCACAAGGAGCCCAGGTGGGACAGCACTGCTGCCACCAAATTAAGCAGCCAATGCCTAAGAAGTGCCAGAAAGCCAACCCACCCTCTCCCATACTGGCAAGTCTTCTTCTGTACCTCAGCACTCAAGAAGCCTAAGCTTTAGTTCATCATGATTTTACCAAGTTCTTAATACCTTCAATACTGCTACTCCATCAGAGAGTTTGGCCAATCGCTCATTCAGTTTCTCTTTTTCGTATTCACTGGTGGTAACCTCTAGCTGTTCGATTATTTCTTGAATGCGTTTTTCAATCTGAGTCTTTTCACCCTTCCCCTTAAGGAGCATGGTGTCATCTTTTGTCACAATGACCTCTCCAACTTTACCAAAGTCATGAGGCTGAATATCTTCCACATTTAGGTTCAAACCTTCTTCTCCAAACACCTGAAAGAAATTGTGTGAAAATCTGGAATTCACAAGCTCCCCACATATCAGGTTTTTTTATCTACAAGTATGTGAACACATACAGCAGGCTAATGGTGCAAAATAACCACATCACTGCAGTTCCACCCTCTGGATGAAGAACCTCTTCCTGATATCCAACTAAACCTCCCCTGACACAGTTTCATGGTGTTTCCTTCAATCCTGTCACGGGTCACCTCCTTATATTTTGAGAAGTTACAGATATTGACATGTCACTGACTTAGGAACAGTTTGCTGGTTGGTTACTTTGTGCTGTTCATTTCCTTAAACGTGAGGTTTTATTTCAACAGCCTTCTCTGGGTCCCAATATCATGCTATGATTTTAAAGTGCATATTAAAAAAAGGCAGCACAAAGGGACATTAATCAGGGCATCAACTATATGCAAAATTTAGTAGCAAGAACATTAATTCAGTCAATTCCAAACACTTTAAATAATAATATTTGCCACATCTGAGTCCAGGCAATTGTTTGTAGAGGCAACAATGATCTTGGAAGTTCCTCCCTCCCCTCTGAAACCTAAATCCTGCAAGGAAATACTCATGTGACTTCAGTCAGTTACAAGGACATATGGTCGGCCAGGATTGCATTACACAGCAATTATCAGTGTCTGCATTTTAAAATACGGGAAGTTTCAAACATCAGTTACTGTTATATTTTTGAAAGAAAGACTACAGCCTGCAACCCACCAAATACAAGCTGAGGACCTAAAAATGCACAGTATTTCCCTTCTTAAAAAGCATTAACATTCCTTGGAGCAAAAAGCCACTTAAAACATCATTACTTACAGCACCACCAGTAGCAATTGCCATGTCCTTAAGTTGGTTTTTCCTGTTGTCACCAAAACCTGGTGCTTTTACAGCAACAACCTGAAGGCCAACCTTCAGTCTAAAGGCAAAAATTCAGAGAATGAGTCTAATTAGTGAATCAAATTATTTCATTGCAGCTCTAGCATTCAAGCAAATGAGACCATCACAAACTGAGGTGTTTTTTCCTCAAAAAGATAGTTAGGACACAACTGAAGTTCTGCCTGAGTTGATCTAAAGCATGGTGGTGTTAGAAACTGCTGTTTCTTTGGCACAGATAAGAGAACAAGCAGCCTTACACCACAGAAAAAAAATGGATTTTAAGTCTCACCTGTTTAAGACTAGAGTACTGAGGGCTTCTCCATCAACATCTTCAGCAATGATGACCAAAGGTTTGCGGTTGGCATTGGCAATTTCAAGAGCTGGAACTATGGACTGTACACTAGAGATTTTCTTTTCGCTGATTAAAACATAAGCGTCCTGGAATTCACATTTCTGCCCTGCAGAAACAACATGCATTATCTGAATAATTTCATTACAAAAACATATCAAGCATTCTTTTAACTTAAGCAGGTGCTTTGGAACAATGATTACACTTTCCAACTGCATAAAAAAAAAGACAATTTGTTTTCTCCAAGACTCCACTCTCAATTCTCCATTGTTCTGCTGTGTTGCAAGGCCAGTGTTCCCAGGAACACTTTGCAGAGAAGAAAAAGGAATCCCCAACATGCCAAGCTTTTACCAAGTTCCAAATTTTCTGATGGGGAAGGACCCCTTGATCTATTTGCTGTGGTGCACAGCAGAAGGGACTGTAAAGCCTTGAACAGGTGCCATTATTTCTGACTGACACAAGCCACTGGAAGGTGTTTGACATGACTTATTGTTAACTCACCTTTAGTTGTGTTAATAAAATATGGAGAGATGTAGCCTCTGTCGAATTTCATACCTTCAATGATTTCCAGTTCATCATTTAGAGTTTTTCCATCCTGTTTAGATGCAAGGAAGTCTGTATTAAAATCTCCCGTTTGCTACCAAAAGCACAGGTACAGTTTTAGCATATCATGCACAACAGATTGAAAGGCTCTGGATCCCACATCAGTTTCCATATGCTTCTCTCCAAAACAGAAGAATGCAAGAGGGAACAGTGATCAAACTCTGATCTAAAGGAGCTGGGGAGGAATTATGGAATGTGAGCTGCAGCAGCAGCATCACATGTGACAAAAGCCAGCCCTAACAGAAGAGACAGTCACTTGGCTAGTTCTTACCTTGACAGTGATCACACCCTTTCGT